AGAGTGCCAGGGTGTCAGCCTAGCTCACAACAACCCCAAACTCCTAAGTTCAAGCAATCCTCCTGCCTCAGCCCCCTGAGTAGCAGGGAATACAAGTGAATTTTTCACTTCTTTTAGTAGAGACAGGGTTTCACTCTGGCTCAGGATGGTCTTTAATTCCTGAACCCAAGCCATCTTCCCGTCCTGGCCTCCCAGAGTGCTAAGATTACAGGCATGAGCTATCGCACCCAGCCACTAAAAAGTTTTTTACAAGATAGACTGTCCAGAGTTCCTGATCCTTCCAGAATCACATGCACTCCCCAACTCTAAAAGACAATCAAAAGCAACAGTGACTCCACGACTCTGTGCCTTCCCCAAGGCTACCCACACCTCTACTTTTTGAGTCCATGTGATCTTTATTCATTATATGAATCAGGTAGCTATTTTTTTTCTTTTCACTTTTTAGATACTTTTTTCCTTTTATTAAGTCACATACACATAGATCATGGAGACTTTACCTCTTTTATGATTACATGGATGGAGCTGGAACATATTCTTCTTAGTAAAGTATCTCAAGAATGAAAGAAAAAGTATCCAATGTCCTCAGTACTTTTATAAAACCAATTTATAATTACTCACACTTTTTTATGAAAGATAGATCACAGGTATAGTCCAGGATGAAGGAGAGAAGTGGAGGCAGATGGGAGGGGAGGCAGGAGGTTTGATAGAGGGAGAGTAAACGGTGGGAGCACACCTATGGAGCATATTGCAAGGGTCTTAACATAATAATTAAGTAAATGAAGTGAAAAATATATTCGTTTCAGGTAAGCACTGCAAATTGTGTTAAAAATCAATACACTATACCCCCAAAATGCATAAATATATTCAGGTAGCTACTTTAAACAGGGAGAAAAGATTAATTATATTGCAGGAGAGAATAAATATAGTTGCCTGTGTATAAAAGAGAAAGAGGAAGGAGGTATTATGGTCAGATGAGGAAATAAAGACATTTCAGAGCACAAAAGACAAAAGACCTAAGGTCAGACCACTTCTATATATATATATTCAGCTATATATATATTCACTTAGCTGTGTCATAGAGTGAACCAGAGGAAGAAAAAGTAGGGGCACCCACTCAAAATCTGTTTCCTGAGTCTATTTAGTTTTAGTGGTGCTAACATACACATTGAATTCTAATAAGCTTGGTTCTGAAACCAGAAATTTCTCTAAAGAAAATAATCAGAAAAGTAAACTAAAATTCCATTTAAAATATTTTGATAAAAAAATGTTAAGGCCTAAAGTATGTTTATGTACAAAGAAAAATTTTTATAACACTAAAAATAGCACATGTCTGAGTTGTGGGATCATAAATAGTTTTTATTTCCCTCTTAATACTACCTTTTTAAAAAGAACAGAGACTTGGCTCAATGCCTGTAGTTCAGCCATATACACCGGAAACAGCTGGTTCGAATCCAGCCTGGGCCTGCCAAACAACAATGACAACTACATTCAAAAAAAGGTGGGTGTTGCAGCAGGTGCCTGTAGCCTCAGCTACTCCGGAGGCTGAGGCAAGAGAATCGCTTAAGCCCAAGAGCTGGAGGTTTCTGTGAGCTGTGACACCATGGCACCTATTGAGGGCAACAGCTTGAGACTCTTTCTCTCAAAAAAAAAAAAAAAAAAAAAAAAGAACAGAAACCTGCTGGGTACACCTCATAGTCTAGATAGATACCAATACTGGTAATGACAAAAAGACTTTAAATTGGGGTCTGAGCTCACAACTTCCTAACCAGCACTTTGGGAGGCCAAGGCCAAAGGGTCACTTGAGGCCAGGAATTTGAGACCATCCTGAGCCAAATAGCAAGATCCTATCCTACAAAAAAATTAAAAAATCAACCAGGCACGGGGGCACATACCTGTAGCCTTAGCTACTACGGAGGCTGAGATGGGAGGATCACTTAAGCCTAGGAGTTTGCGGCTGCAGTGAGCTGCAATGAGTTATGATAAAGTCACTGCACACTAGCTTGGGCAATAGAATGAGACCCTGTCTCAAAAAAAAGAAAAAAGACTTTAAATTGGTTGGGGAATGTAGTAGAGACTCAAAGAGTGGCCTAGCAAGGAGAAGAGAAGGAGAATTAAAAACAGGACATACCTATGACAAAGAAGAAGGCAGACAAAACAATCACAGAAGGAAAATGTAAAGAAAATAAATACAAGGAGGGTTCAGAGAGAAAAATCTTGCTTACATAACATTATTACGAAAGGAAACCAAAGGTTTTTCCATAAAATGGAATCCTTTCTACCTAGGGACTATGAGGGGGCCACCTGATCTTTCTCATCCTTAATGAGTGTCTCTCTCTAGTCACCAAAACATTCGGAGCCTAGTTTAGGAATGTTTTGTCATGAATTGGGAGAGAAATTAAGGCCCCAAACTGACTTTTATACTCAGAATGGAGGTTCTGGAGCTCTGAGTGGGGCTGACACATAACCATTTTTCACTTTATTTTTGAACCATTTTAGCACTCCATACAGCCCCTAAGTGGCAAGGCCATGCAAAGGCCAATGACGAGTGCTACTCCACCAGTTAAAGGGGTGTTCAGGCTCGGCACTCATAGCTCAGCGGTTAGGATGCCAGCCACATGCACTGGGAATGGTGGGTTCCAACTGGCCCAAGCCTGCCAAACAAACAACAACAACAACAACAAAAAATAGCCAGGTGTTGTGGTGGGTACCCATAGTCCCAGCTATAAGGGAGGCTGAGGCAAGAGAATCACTTGAGCTCAAGAGTCTGAGGTTGCTGTAACTATGATGCCATGGCATTCTACCAATGCGACACACTGAGACTCTATCTTAAAATAAATAAATAAATAAAATAAAGGGGAGTTCAATCAAGAAGAACTTACAGTCTAAATAGTGAGCCATTCCTGCTTTACAAAGCAACTCACAGCAACCTCCAGCTCTTGAGCCATTCCGGCTTTACACTCATTTCTCTGTGGCAGACCATTGTGTTTGTCATCATTTAAGACCCTGCTGTAGAAGGTGATTGCATCCACGTGTCCTACCAAGGTTTGTCCTGACACTGACATACTGGGAATTCTTCTACTAATGACTATTTTTATCTGGTCCCATCTGGCATTAAAGTCCTAAAACGTTAACCAAATTCTTTAAAGTTTCCAAGCCTTTCCGAAAACTCAATCATCCTCAAATAATTAGCTATTAAAAGGGAAAAAAGTGGCCCTAGTCTCTTTGAGCATGAGACCCTATTTACTACTGTATAAAGCTGTTACCTGCCTTGAAAAGGTTAAGAGTAAGGAGGTTCCTGGAAAGTAGGTATATGCCTGGTCTTAAAGAGAAAGAAGTAGAAAGGAGAGTCTGCTAAGAAAAGCTTACTTATGGGCAACACCTGTGACTCAAAGAAGTAAGGTGCCGGCCTCATATACCAGAAATTGCAGGTTCAAACCCAGCCCCAGCCAAAAATTGCAAAAAAAAAAAAAAAAGAAGAGCTTTAGCTAGAGGCGCATTACCAATTCACTCCTAAATAGAGAAAGGATAATCATTTCTATATACGGCAAGCATGATATGCCACGGAAGGGTGAAGAAAGGTATGTAGGGGGTAAGTGATCAGAACTGTCTTCTAATTCTGATTCCAGTGAGCATTGTACTTTGTACCCATCAAGTTAAGTTTTTCCTAAATAATTCAAGGACCTTTTACTCCATTTCAGGTTATTACATTTTGCTAAACCACCTAAATAGAAAACACTAACATGGATTAGTGACCTAGGTATCAAATAACTGATTAACACAAAATCTTTGGGTTTTTGTAAAGATTCAGTGAGACCATATACATGAAACATGTAGTAGGTGCTCAATAAATGGTATCAAATTTTAAAAAGTGAAATGTCACTTATTTCCCCAATAGAGAACTATGGAAACCTAACCTTCTAAGGGTGCTTGTTCCCCAGAAAGGTCAAACATCTGCAGAAATACACAGCTAAACTAGAGAGGGGAAATAAATTAAAATTAGGATAAAGTCATAATTAGAAAAACACTTTGGATACTCATGAGTGGCTGAATTTTAAAAACTATCCCTGAGGCTTGGAGCCCGTTGCTCAGTGGTTAGGGTGCAGGCACATGTACTGGGGCTGGTGGGTTCCAACCTCGCCAAGGGGTGCTAAAACAACAGTGCCAAAAATAACAAAAAAATAGCCAGGCATTGTGGTGGGCGCCTGTAGTCCCAGCTACTAGGGAGGCTGAGGCAAGAGAATTGTATAAGCCCAAGAGTTTGAGGTTGCTGTGAGCTGTGACACCACAGCACTCTACCCAGGGCGACAGCTTGAGACTGTCTCAAAAAAAAAAAAAAAAGAAAGAAAAGAAAAGAAAAGAAAAGCTATCCCTGAAAAGAAGGGAAAATATGAGAGAACCACACATGATAAATGACTCAACCACAACAACACATATAAAACATAATTCCATAAATATAAACCCATTCTGTGAATGTGCTGTCTTGGTGAACTTAATATGAGTGGGAAGAAATTCAGAAGCAAACTGATGACTGAGATTCCATACATTCTAGGATCAGCTGTAAATGCAAGCCCCATGAAAAAGAAAATAGAGGGAGGAAGATTTGTGAGTATAGGGGATGGCAAACTTTCTGTCAAGGGCCAGATGGTAATACTTCAGGCTTCATGAACCATATGGTACCTGTCATAACTACTTAACTCTACTATAGCACAAAAGTAGCCACAGACAATAATGAATAATCATGATTGTATTTCAACATAATATTTACAGTAACAGGAGCTTATGCCACCTAGCTTACTTGGAAACTATTTCAGTTCTTATGACCCTCAGCAGAGGTGATCAGAAACTAGGTAAACATATAATCTACCCAAATTGTTTTAAGAAAGTTATATCCTGGATTAAGTTGCAGGCTTCAAAATTACCGGCCTTGTGCTCTGGAAATGCATTTCCAAGAGCTTCCCTGACAGAAATCAGGGCAAAGTCAGTCCCTCTTCCCCACTTACCTTTAATCACTGTGTTACCACTGAGAAGACCCTCTCTTTTGGTTTATAGTCATTCACATAGAAGATCTGGTGGACTCTAAAACACCTTTCATAGATATCCTTCACAATCCAGCCTAATGAGAAGTTACAAAAAGGAAAAAGACTGTTTGCATCCCCTATGACCTACTCCACAGTCAACTTGGTCAGCCTTCACTGCATGGAGAGACAATGGCAGGTTTTAAAAGAAATAATGGTAAGAGGGGAGGAAAAACACAAGACGTCGCTTAGTTTAACCTACCCATTTTTACATACAATTTTTCACATCAGAATGGGAGGAGGGAATCAATCTAATACTATGATACATCATACAGTTACTGTTATTCTTTTGTCCTACCTCACAAGACTGAAAGATCTATAATGGCAGGACTTTGGTAATGTCTACAGGGTCTCTGGCACTTAGTAGGTACTTATTACTAAAGGAAGGCTTTAAATACCTCATCATGACCGTTTTCCCTTCTCTTTTTTACAAACTGGGAAACCCCCACCAAAATCACTGATACCTTGCCTCACAAGGACATCCATGGTTAACAGTGATTTATCCTGGCTCTCTGGTGAACTTACTAGGCAAGGAGCATCAGTCTAAGTAACAGGTGGTTATTAATGTTGCTCTTAACTAATGACAATGTTTCTGGCTACCCAGGAATCTGTAACTTAATGAGCAACCCCAGGTGACTTCATGTCTAATAAGATTTTATACCACAGAAATTTTCATCATTAAGTATTATCTTAGAAGCTACCATAAAAATCTTTCAGCATGAAAGATTTAATGGAATCTGGAGGAAGCACTGGGTAGATGACACAGTACTAGTATGGATTCAAATCCATTTTATATACCAACTAGCTATAATCTTGGGATAATTTCCAATTCTCCTGTCTGTAAAAATGGGAGAATGTTTGGAAAAGGAGAGGTTAGACTCTTTATGCTCTCTAGTACAGCCTGAATGTTTTAAGACTTTTCTTCATATCATAATGGGAAAACATCCAGTAACTGCCCTAAGCCTATTAAGACCACTTTCCCCACCCCTTCCCACTAACTAGGTAAGCCCACCAAAGCCACTAACCACTTACCAAAACTTCATAAATGTTTGATAACCATATGCAAGATGCCGACTTGAGCCTCTCCCAATTCTCTAATAACCTTGCTAGAGGTTAGCCAGGCAGGGCTCAATATACCTCTTCACCAATGGAATAGTTTCTGATTGCATTTGCTGTCACCTGCAGGATAGGGAGAAGGAAGGAAACAAATGTAAGACCAAACAGTTAAGGTTTGAGATCTAGCTTTCATTTTAGTTTTACCACCTCTATTAAGCCAGCCAGCCAGCTACATCATGGACCTCAGATTTCACTCTTGCTAAACATTCACGTTAGCATCACTATTATGTTCTTTGTCTGGAAAAAGCTACTACAAGGTCTACAATTATTGTTTAGATTCTTGTTCCCATTTTAAATAAGTGACTATACCAAAGTGTTAGAGCTCAGATGTAAACTCTAAGGCTGACCTTCCTAGTTTCCTTCAAGTCCTTCCCCTCTTTGGGCCTCAATGCCTCTACCTTTGAATAGGGGGTAAAATTGACCCCCTAGTAGGCCTTCTACATCTAGCAGTTAATGAATCGACATTCTGGTTTTTTTTAATCGACATTCTTTACTTCTGACTAAAACAGTCCCCAAAAGGTGAATGAAACTTTCATTTAGTCATCAAACAGCACCTGATTCACACTGATGCGGAAAAGTAACAAAACTCTGGGATCTGGACTAACCCCTGATTAATAACCTCAACTTCCACCAGGACTCACCTTACCATAACTGAAAAGGAATCAAACATCTGTTTCTCACTTAGCTTCCTACATTATCAAAAGGAACACAAGGAGTTTGGTAGGCTAACAGCTATTCCCCTACCTCCAAGACTCAATCACTGAGGAGAACAGGGCTCTGAAACGTGAGACCACAAAGAATAAACCAAGGATCCTTAAGGGTCCTTTCTTTTTATGGAATCAGCCTATAGCTTTAAAGTTTCCTAGTCCCTAACTGCTTAGCATGAAAAGTAACTCAGAAAATCTGGCAATTCAGCAATGGCCCAAAGCCCAGGCTATTAGTTGCTAACATTAGTTGCTGGCCACACCAGCTAATGCTGCTAAGTTTCCTATTACTCAGTGAGATTCAGGCAACTCTCAATGCAAATCCCAGAAGACTCTATAAGAAATAGAAAAATTAGCCAGCATGCTGGAGTATCATTGCACTCTAGCCCTGCAACAGAACAGATATGGTGGTCTCTATCCTTGAGTTCAAATCAAAGGAGATAAACACAAACAGGTAACATTTGCCATTACCATGTCCGTGGATACAGATAAGTAACATTTCATGGTGCTTCCTTGCTGGGTGGTGATTTCTCGCGGGGAGAGAAGGACGGCTTGGCCGCAGGTGCAAGCTCGCTCCTGGAATTGTATGAAAGCAAGAAACTACTACTACTCCGTGTGGCAGTAACCAAATGTCTTCATTCACCATCACCTTTTATAGTAAACTAATTACGTACACCCCATTGATCAATAATCTTAACATTCTCTATTCTTATCTTAAACTATAATAAAGACAGAAAGTCCAGGAAAGTAAGATAACCATCTTAAGACTAGCCTTCAGGCTATTCCTCTCTAAAGACCTAAAACAACCCTACATTATCTGACTTCCTTTGTCAAAGTTAAAGGTCAGGACAAAGAGGGGAGTAAAACTTTTTCTTCCATGTACTCAATTAAGTTTCCGAGAAACAGGCTCAATGACTGTTTTCTTGTGGTTTTGGAAGCCACTTGCTTTTACCATGAAGTTTTTCACTCCATCAACCTTTGAGCCATGTCTCCTGCACAGATGGGCCACATCTGGCAGGCTGACTGACTGCATGGTCAGAGTTCCATGCAGGACCTCTACCACCTCGCCTGCAAGCTCTGCCATGTTCTCCCAGGTAGCAAGGCTTCTACAAAACACACAATACTTATGAGTCTTTTCACTCAGTTTCTGGAATTAAAAGAGCACATTTCATTTAGCTAGCTTTATGTGGGAATTCACCCCACAATTCCTAATTGAAATGGTGGTTATGGCTGTCACTAACAGAAAAGGTTTAAAAGAATACAATTAGACAGAAGCCCAAATTAAAAATCTATTTGCTAGAATTACAAAGAGTTAAACTAATGGTAAGTATCACTTCATTGGCATTTCAATGTGACTTTATTGCTTTGTTGTTTCTCTTTTATCAAGTTTTTTTTTTAGACAGAGTCTCATGTTGTCCTTGGTAGAGTACTGTGGCATCCCAGCTCACAGCAACCTCAAATTCTTGGGCTTAAGCGATTCTCTTGCCTCAGCCTCCCAAGTAGCTGGAACTACATGTGCCTGCCACAATGCCCAGCTATCCTTTATCAGTTCTTAAAGGAAAGAACCCAGGAGAGGATGCTCAGAAAACCACCTGCCCAAAGCCAGAGAAATGAATAAAGCACAGGGCAGTATATAACGCTAGACCTGGACTTGCACTTTTCCTTCCTCCTGCTTTTCCAGTAAACAACAGTGGGCCACAGCCCTTTTCTTTCAGAAACAAAATGGCTTCTCTCCTTGGGGCTCCCATTCCCAGGCAGATTTGTTTACATAGTTAGCTTATGGTGGTATTCATGACAACTTGGAAGGTACAGGTAAGAATCAAAAGAAGCTACTTTTCACACCATGATGGGTCAGATACAGATGAGATTAAAATGGATGACAGAGGTAATTTTAAAACATAATCAACAAAGATGAGTTAATATGATAAAACACAGTCACTACCCACATAACAATGTTTTGATCAATGTCAAACACATATACAATGGTGGCCCCATAAGATTATAATACCATATTTTTACTCTACCTTATCTGTTTAGATACATTTAGACCCATAAAATATTTACCATGGTATTACAACTGACTACAGTATTTAGTACAGTGATATGTTGTATAGGTTTATAGCCTAGGAGCAGTAGGCTATAGCACATACCCTCGATGTATAGTAGGCTATACCAGTTAGGTTTGAGGAAATAAACTCTATGATGTTCACATGATGACAAAACTGCCTAAGTACTCAGTTCTCAGAATGTAGCTGGTTAAGGTACATGTGACTATATAGTTAAATGCTGTGCATATGACTTTTCACTGTATGAATATTTCAACTTTTCTATATGTTTGAAAATTTTTGTAATACAGTATTGGGAAAAATCAGCAAGCAACTTAAAAAAGAAAGTTGTAAGACCTTTCCAAATTCTATTTTGCTCCTAGAATATGCCCATATATATGTAATGAGCCTATTTGGTATTTTCTACCCCACCCCCTCTTTTTTTAAGAGGTAGCTTTCTGGCATCTGACCTGGAGCTTGCTGACTTTTTAAAGTTGAAGCAGGTGGTGCCCGTAGCTCAGTGGGTAGGGCACCAGCCATACACATCAAGGCTGGTGGATCTGACCTCGACCTGGAAAAACTAAACAACAATGACAACTACAACAAAAAAAATAGCTGGGCATTGTAGTGGGCACCTGTAGTCCCAGCTACTAGGGAGGCTGAGGCAAGAGAATTGCTTGAGCCCAAGAGTTTGAGGTTGCTGTGAGATGTGATGCCACGGCACTCTACCAAAAGCAACATAGTGAGACTGTCTCAAAAAAAAAAAAAATTAAAGTTGAATCAATCACCATGATTCACAGGCAGGTTACCAAGAGAGTGCCTCCTCTAAGACTGGGGAAGCAGGTGGGGAAAGGCTCCAAGGTCTTAGAAGTCCAGGCTTACTACCTGTGTAAGTCTAAATAAATGAGTATTTTAAAGACTCCTCTTCATTTAAAAATTAGCACTAGGACCTTCTAACCATTGTCTCAGCTTATTTTTCTGCCTTATGCCACATTAATTCCTTATTTTCCATATTCTTAATGCAAAGAGTTGTGTAGGAAGGAGGAAAGCAAAGGAGAAGGCATCAAGCATTCTATGTCCACTTGCTTCAAGATAGGATATAATAAAAGGTATTTTCAGAGCTGAGGCTTGAAACTTGTATTGAAGGATATTGAAGGACAGGGCATAGCTGATTAACTAACAGCAGGACCCTGGGGGAGGCCTTATAATCTCCCAGTTTAAAATGTGTCCTAGCTGGCCCATATGTAAAACAAGGAAAAGACTTGTCAAAAGCAATAACAAATGATTTTTTGCACTAGTGAATGGAGTAGGAAATGAAACGATCACTGCTGAGTGATGATATAGACCAGGCTCAGCAATCTTTTTCTGTAAAGGCCTTGCAGGCCACAATGTCTCCAACACAGCTACTCAACTCTGCTGTTGTTGTGCCAAAGTGACCCCAGACAAAGCAGCAACGAATGAGCATGGCTATGTTCTGACAGAATTTCATTTGCAAAAACAGAATCTATGGGCCATACATCTTGCCCAACCCTGGTTTAGAACAAGGATCCCTATGTAGGAGTCCTATGTGTTTGGAGGATGACCCAGGGAGGATAAGCTTATAAATAGGAACCGTTTAGCAAACACTGGGCTGTGAGAATGAGACTCCCAATCTAACAGCTATCACCCAGGTCCCATGGAGAAAGTAAGTGCCAGCAGGAGCAACAGTAGCAACACTTGTAAATACCAATGACTGAAATCCAAATACAAAAATAGCATTGTCTCATGAGAAACTCTTCGTAAGATACAAATATAACTAAAAGGAAACAACCAGCTTCTGACCACATGCCTTTTGAAGAAAAGAGCTAACAGTCCAGAGCCTGTGGAGATCACTTTAGCAGGCACACAATAAATGTTTGTTGATGAGTCATTCATTTATTCATCCAATAAACATTTACTGAGGCCTACTAATGGGCCAGGCTGGGCTCTGAAGATGAAGATACCATCCCTGCCCTCAAGGAGCTCACAGTCTAATATAACATGGGAAGACAGACAGGCTATACACAGACAGTTACAATACAATCTGATAAGTGCTGTAACACTTATCAGGTTGTATTATAATGGCCGATGTAAATTTCTTTCCAGGAAGTGCTGCTCCAGGCTGCTGCTGGCTGTAACAAGAGATGGGAGAAATGAATCACAGAATCATCCATTAAATGCTCTTCAGCTATTTCAAATACCCAGGCTCACCCTAACCCCTGATCACAGATGGATTTAAAAACTAGTAGGATGTAAAATAGGACTTCCATGCTTAAGATAGTTACAGATCTCCAACAAAGCACCTTTTTTCAACAACCTCTTCTAAAACATGAGCTTTTTTCCTTCTTTTTGTTTATGCACCTCTCAACCTCCCCACCCTAAAACACATGAGCCTGGTTTAGTATCTGCAGTTAGCAAAATGCTGAAAAATAGGAGCTTACAACTAACTGGATTAACCCAGTATAAATGAATAGCAAAGAGCAGTAACACCTCATCTGACACCTCTAAATTGAATCTAATTCCTACTGTTAAATGAAAAAATAAAAGAACACTACTAAATGTAAGATAAATATAATATATAGCTCATGGAGTCAATAACAAGCTAGAAAGGTTTACTTAATAAACAAAACAGATTCTCTGAATCAGACAAAAATAACAGACTCAGTTTTAGGAAACCAGAATTAGACACCTCAAGACCTTTTAGAATATCTAATTTATTGCGCAACGCCTATGGCTCAGGGAATAGGGCGCCGGCCCCATATACCAGAGGTGGTGGGTTCAAACCCGGCCCTGGCCAAAAACTGCAAAATAAATAAATAATCAAAAATGAATATCTAGTTTACATATATATCATAAGTAAAAAAAATGAAACACAGAGACAATATAATTTTCCCACTCTGTTTTCAAAAGTGGGTGAGTGATAATAACAGGCTTTTTGAGGAGAAATTATCACTGTAAATAAGATCACTTTATAGAGAATAGCATTTTTCTGTGCCCCATACCTAATAAGGCCTAGCTTTGTTTTTTGTTCTGTTTTCTTTTGTTTGAGACAGAGTCTCTTACTCCTTCACCCTTGGTAGAGTGCCCTGGCATCATAGCTCATAGCAACCTCAAATTCTTGGGCTTAAGCAATCCTCTTGCCTCAGTCTTCCCAGTAGCTAGGACCACAGGTGCCCACAATGCCCACAAGCCTGGCTAGTTTTTCTATTTTTAGTAGAGAGGGGGACTCCCTCTTGCTCAGGCTGGCCTCAAACTCCTGAGCTCTGGCAATCTATCCTCCTCAGCTTCCCGGAGTGCTAGGATTATAGAGGTGTGAGACATGCCCGGACAGACCTAGGTATTTTTTCTTTTGAGAAAGAGTTGCACTTTGTCACCCTCAGTAGAGTGCAGTGACATCATAGCTCACAGTAACATCCAACTTTTGGGGCTCAAACAATTTTCTTCTTGCCTCGGCCTCAAAAGTAGCTGAGACTACAGGTGACCATCATAACGCCCAGCTATCTTTTCAGAGATGAGGGTCTTGCTCTTGCTCAGGCTGGTCTCCAACCTGTGAGGTGAGGGCAATCTACCTACCTTCACCTCTCAGAGTGCTAAGATTACAGGCGTAAACCACCACGCCCAGCCCCAGACCTAGGTTTTTAATGGCTCACT